CCATTTTTGTATTGTTTCTACTATAACGATAGAAAAACTTTAATTAATAAAAATATATTCTTTAGAATTTTTTATCCGAAAAAATATTTGTTATAAAACATCTATGTCTTAACACGAAATTTAGCTTTCATGGCCCTTTCTTCTGCTTCCTCAGGAGCTATTTCAGATGCTAGCAGGTGTTTATATAGCCCAATTCGCCAATGTCCATATGGAAGAGTTCGAATTCCATCAAGTAAGATCCAGCGCTTATTATCATATAGATTTAATCCAATTTTATTTACCCTCTCCAAATATATTTGATGATCGTAACTGCGGAGACCATACATATCATGCCGGGTTAGCTTCTTAGCCTTAAGACATTCTAGAAATTTGTCATGTCGAAGCTCTCTTTTGACCACGCTTTTCTTTACACCCTTTGCCTTCTGAATGCCATGTTTTTTCTGCTAATTCTTTACACTCTGAGATTTTCTAAATTCTTCCTCCTTTAGCTCTTTCTCATAATCCGCTTCTGTTTCAGGAGTTTTTGGGTCATGTCCGGCTGGAAGAACTGAGTACATCTTTGGCTTTAAGCATGCCGATTCACCTATGGGGTCACCTTTTGTCTCATCCTTCATTAGAAATAAGCCCCCTGTATAGTTAAGATCGAAAATATCTGGTCTTTCTGCTCGATCTTTATAGATATCATCTGTTTTTATCCACATGATAAGAGAGTCTATGTCAGTATAAAGTAAACAGGCCTTATCTCCATAGCGAGGTTTTATGTAACCGTACCAAAAGTTAAACATCATAGCCTTACTAATGTCGAGAATTGCCTACCCTACATAGATTGGTTTGTTTAGAGTTACTGTACCTTTTAACATATGGACTGCTGTAATTCCTCCTTCAAATTACTTGAAACCTACAAATAATGGCGAACTTGCTAGACGTCTGATTTTTTTATCCTCTTCTGTTCGGAGAAGCTCTACTCTCATGTGCTTTCGAACGTTTTCCATCTGCTTACCAAAGACGGTATTGTTCTTTAGCTTATAATACATGACCCCAAATTTATCCCCAATGGCCTTAGCTATTTTACGCTTGCGTATGTTTTTCTCAATATATGCTTTCATCCAAGGGAATTGCCTGAACTTGAGTGCACCGTAAATCTTTGTAACCTTTACCCCCAATTTCATGTATAACTGGAGTGCACGATAATGAACTACATAGTTCTTTTTGGGATAAAGGGTTTAGACAAGCTTTTCTCCTGTTGTATATTTTCCGCCCCCTACTTCTTTATCATGCACTAATCTTTCATTATACAAGCTAAGCCATTCTTCTGGAACTAACTGTTTTTCTGGTGCTAAAGGATAATCTGCAAAGAAATCATGCAAATGCATTGGGATTTCTAGATCAACTTCCAATGTATATCCTATTTCCGCATCTGGTGCAATACTTTATATGTTCAGAACCTCATCTGGGCTTACTTTTCCCAATATTTCTGTAGGCATGTATTGGGTCATCGCACCGGAATATAAGGCATTCATGTCCTCATACATGATCCATGACTTCGGTTTACTAGGATTGTACTCTGGACATCGTGGATTATTAGCTTTGATATATTGATGACTTGCCATTGTCATTCCTCCACAGATTCCATTTTCAACCATTAGATATTCGTCCATATCTGTCATGAGCTTGAGTTCGGTTCTACTACTCTTGTATAGGGAATCATTAAACATTCCTGGTGCTGAGACGTAGTGGAAAGGGTCTAAGCCATCATCCTGCAAGCACATAATAGTATAATTCATGAATACATCGGCAAGTAAAAGTACATCTGTTTCAAGATATAGGTCATGATATTCTCCAAAGTTTTTCATCTCGAATGTTTGCCATATTTTTTGTGCATATTCATAATCTTCCTTACTTATATTTTGCTGGCTAAGAATCGAATAGAAATCCTTTCTTGGTGGTAGCTTTGTTCTATCGAATTTATCCCATAAATTTGTCCAATCATATGGAAATACACCCTTTCGAAAAAGAAGCTTTATCTTATCTATTGAGTAGCCTTTTTCTGTAAAGTACTTAACAGTTAGGGGGAA